AAAGTTGATTTGTAAAATGATTTTAATATGCTATTCTGAGTTTGACGATTTTATGTACTATGTTTATCATGAACATTGCCCCATAGTACATGGTGTGGCATTGATTTATAATATATACTCTTTTCAAGACATTTCCAAAAAATAACTACGCAAAGAAAGAAATTAATTTAAACTGAGAAAGAAAGAAAAATTTGCCAGGAAACAGACTTTTTAAACAACCTCTCTCTACCGGTACATTGCATGAAAAAAGAGAATCAAACCCACATGTCTCGTGGATTGGAATATAAGTGAACTTTTTCTTGTATCAATTATCTAAAAGCCGCAAAAGGCCGTCTAAAGGGTCTGTTTCTGCCATACCCAAATATTTGAAATCCGCTGGGGACATAAATTCTATAAAGCTGTATGGGCCTCGGTTATTCGTCCCCCAACTATGTATTTGTATAATCAAAGGTTTTAATGAAGGGTCCAAAATTTTATCAAATAAGCTTTTAATGTAAAGTGTTCTGAATTAAGAGGGATTTATTTTATTCACAGAGCTACAGTACGAGAAGACCATTCCATTAGGATCTTGCAATGACGATTGAAGACTGTAATTACAAAGGACTAGGACTAAAACTGGCAGTCAAATTTGTTACATTTTGACATCTCAAGCTCTCATTTATCACATGGTTTTCCCTCTTGTACAACTCCTGATATTCGGTTTCCATTCATTCCAAAGACCTTATTTATGGAATCTATATGGGATTTTTCTTGCAAAACAATGTTCCGAATTATATATTTGGAATAGGACTCAGTTGACCGAGTCCCCAATTTCAAGAAATTAAGGCTTCCTTTAATTGTGGACAGTTTTGAAGTCACAGTTTTCCATTTAATTGTGTTGAAGTGTGGTTGCCGGTGAAAAAGGGGATGCGAATGGGCTGAGAAAGGGATGTGAATTGCCTCGCCGGATTAATCGTATCAGACAGGGCTGGTTGCCGGTGACAAAAGGGGATGCGAGTGGGCTGAGAAAGGGATGCGAATTGCCTTGCAGGATTGACCGTGTCAGACTGGGCTGGCTGCCGGTAAAAAAGGGGATGCGAGTGGGCTGAGAAAGGGATGCGAAATGTCTCGCCGGATTAATCGTGTCAGACAGCTGGTTGCCGGTGGAAGAAAGGGGAAGTGGAATTTTCATTCTATTCAGTAGGGGGCTCATGCCTAATATGAGGTGACAATTCGATTGAACCTGTAGAAGTACCCTTTTCGTCGCAATTATTTCTAACGTTACATTCATTTCTACAAATGAAAATAATACTAAATATACCTCTGATATAAAGGAGATATAATGAGGCTGCTATAACATCTTAGATAAAAAGATGGTTTCAAAATGTCCGTAGTTGTAATCGCCAGCATGAACTTTAATGTTGTTACTTGGAAAACGATTTAATAAACTTCACTTAAAATTTACCTTTGCCAAATACTGAAAATTATCGGTATTACATCAATATAGAACAGCAAAGTGAACTTGTAATTCAATTGTTGCATGCATACTGATATTCAACGTTCCATCGAAATGTATTTAATGAAATTTTAATTTCAGCATTTTTCTTTTGTTATCCTTATGTTTGTACACAGCCCATCGCACGAAATAAGGGTTTCTATTAAAGAAAGTGTGGGTTTTAAATTACTGAGCCGAAACCCACTCTTATTCATTTATTTATTAGCAAACATTACCACCGTGCATGAACACGATCAGTCAAGTGGGGAATTGATAAGTAGTATTGTTTGAATTCACCGATGCATGTTGGGTCATATCCCTTGGCTTATTTTTCCATTTCTACACATGCTTTTATTATCCTGCGTTGTTTTACCAGCTTAGCATATTTTTACTTGCGACAAGAAATTGTTCTAGCGTGTCCTGTCAATACTCAACCCTCCAATCAGTACATACATGTAAGTTTGAAACAAGATGCAACACTGCCTCTGTGCTTAGAATGATGAATAGGTAACTCTTGCATTCATCTCAGCTTTCACAGTGGCAGTTTGTCTTCTCGGAGCAAAGAAACCAGGCAATAGTTGTCGGAGATGCTTGATTATTTCCATGGAAACATGGAAATGCCGTGCAGAGTTAACCTGGACAATGTCATCATACAGAGAAAATCCATCTCTCAATTCTATCATCTTCAACATAGAAATTATGTCTCCTTTCGTGAAGGCCATTCCAAGCAGCCACGTTTTCATTTATTTCCCCTTTCTGCAGACTACAGTCAAAAGCCATACGTAGTAAAAAAATATTCTTTCTCACCAAAATTAATGTCGCGTGCAATGCCCATGACACTCTCCCTCTACTGTCTTAATCTTTTGGCAATTTCTCTGGATCCGCAGTCACAGTTTCGGGGATCTGGGTTGTCACATTTTTTTTCAATACTGGTAACTGTCTTATGCAATGACTTGTTGCTTTTCCTCTCTGCGCCTCGCTTTCTGATGTGATGTGGAAGTGTACCATTTCCAACTTGGAACTCTGTAGCTGTCAAGAATGTCTGGATTATGTTCTTTTTCTGCAAGCAGGGGATTATTGTCAGGGAATTCTCTTGCGGGCTGCTCACCATCACGTGCTTCTCCTGTCCGGAGGTGACCAGCTGATCAGTCTCATTTCTACCTTGCTGTTCTTGCTCATTTTGTATGTTAGGCGTAGTGTAATTTTTGGCTGCTGTATCATTCATAGGCGTGTCTCGTGGTTGCTATTTAAGTGTCTACCTGCTGGCTCTTTTGAAAATGAAAGAAGACGTATACATCTTGATTTTACAGCATTTCTACGTTGTTTAACGTCTTCTGACTCTGCAATGCTGCTATCATTCCGGAGGGAATTACCTCCAAACAACAAACTTAGAAAGGCTGTCAGTGATATTGCTTGTCTTTGGTGGTCTCCTTGCCTAAATAAAAAAATTTTACCTTGCAACAAGTCCTTGATTCTCAAAGTGTCAAATGGTTCCAACTTTTTTTTGCGTCGTCTTCGATCTTGATCAAGGAGTGTGAGTGTTGATCCATTTATGGGCTCCGCATCGAAATTTTTATTACACCAGTAATTCCAGTCGTCCATGGAAAAGTAATGACATTTTCAAACAATTATTATGCCCATTGATCTGCTATAGCTGAACTCAATAACACGAAAGACAGTCATGAAGCTTAGATCATTGTTGCAAACTGTAACCCTTTCCGAAGTGAGCAAATTCCACAAAGGAAACAGCTTTTGTTGAAGCATAAAGTATACAACATAATGAGGTAAGGAACTAATAAAGTTGGCGTTATAATGTTCATAAATTTGTGTGATCAGGGTTTGTAAATTTATAAACACATTTAAACGAAAACAAACAGGACGAGTTGTGACAAACAAGGTTTGGGCAATCAAGCTGGTGAAATGTTGGCAAAAAATTACCGCTGCATGAAGTTTATTCAACAGTAACTGTCCACACCCATGACGAAACATCCTGCATTTACATTTTTTTACAACCGACAGAAAAGTGGAGGGTTAAAACGAGAAGAGGTTGAAACAGCCTTCTGGTACCATCCTGGTCACCGACATAATCAATGTGCACTGTGAGCATGCATAAACACATGTAGTGTATACTTTTATAGTGTGTTCAGCATACCCTGCGGTTTCAGCAGTCACTGACTCTGAACTCCCCTGTGACTGCCGAGTTAATTGAACGTGGTTAGGAGTGGATACTTGAGGTCTGACAGGATTTGTGCACAAACCCCTTGTGCAAGGGGTGTTTGTGTAGATGTATTAAGGTACTAACTTCTACGACAGTGTGCTGGTAATGAAAAATTTGTTTGAAAGCCCGCACAAAACGATGCAAACCATGCGATAATGCATGACATACGAACTTAACATGCTCTGCACCAGTTCACTAAGCCTTCTATCAGCAAAAGTGAAAATTTACTAACTTTATTTCCAGCCGCAAATTTACAGTGAAATGTGTGCTATTGTAGTACCCCCGTGGGGGGTGTCAAGTAGATAAAACTGGAATCAATATCTTCGACTGGGGACAAAGGGCACAAAAGGACACTTGCTGATTGTGGTGTTCACTTAAGTAATGGTCTGCCTCAAGTTTTTAATTCTGATACTTTGAATTAAACAGAGATTTGTATTTATATCAAGGATATATAATTCACCTAGAATTACTCACTAGGAGTGATCCTCCTGGTGCATTTGTCACACTTCCTATGGCATTGTATTCTTGTCAGTACAGGGTGTAGGAAACCTTATATAAAACCTTATATACTTTGGATCCAACATCAAGTAGTCCATTGCCAAACAAATACAAGAATAGAGGCAATAAAATTGTAGCTTTACATACCAAACTATTATCATAAACAGCTATACTTGACGTAACACAAAGAACTCAAAAAAATGTAGGAAAGAATCAATAAAACAGGAATTGAACTTGAAACACACCTGTGGACAAAGGGCAGAAAAGGACACTTGCTGACTATGGTGTTCACTTAAGCAATGGTGTGCCTCAAGTGACCAGCACAGTCAACAGAGCAAACATCCTGTCCTTTGGGTTCTACCATAAGTCAAGGGGTAGGGCCACTAAATAACTTTAGGAATGGTCCATTTAAATTTGGGGGGTGCCTAATTTCTCTATCCTCTACACTATCACGAGGTATAGTGGAGCTTGGTAGTTACTGCTTCTGCTCACACATACAGGGCCC